AGCAATGAAGAGATTCCCTCCAATGAGATTCCCTCTTTCCAAGTGACTCTAGGTTGTGTCAAGTTGACAAATAAAACTAACCAGCACAGTTTCCCAAGCTGACCTGAAACTTGTTCTGTGGCTAGGCAAGTCTTAAACTTCAGATTCTGATTTGGATTATAGACCTGGACCATCAGGCCTGGCCTCTGTCATCATCCATAAGAAGTTTTAAATACTCATATAACTTCTTTAAAATGATGCCTCATTTGTTTAGAGTTTAGCTTAATCTTCATTAAAATTTAAAGAAAACACTCATTTGAACAGCTCTGAAAGCTGAACATATAGTTCATGAGTGTGATGGTGTTCAAATCACTTTAAAGCTCCTCTTTAGTAAATGACATATACCTAGCAATCTATGATTGCCATTTCATCACTAGTAGTTGCTTGGCCCAGTCATACTTAGCATGGGTGAAAACAGACATAAATCTTCCTATACCTTTGAAAGCAAGGTAGGATGGATGCTTTCTCAAGGCAGAGTTCATCTGTATATCCCTTCAAATTCCCAAACTTTTAGGAATTGACTGTATATTGGTACTTGTAAGAGAAACAGACGGATGCTACATTCAGGATAATAAATAATAACAGTCACTTGCGCTCACTAAACTGCTTGTGCTATTTTAGTATATTACGACATTTAATTTGATATTCACAGCCCTATGGGTCAGGTAGTCCATAGTTATTCTCAATATACTTGAGGAAATGTGTATTTAGAGGGATTAACTAATTTATCCAAGGTCACATAACATGGCTGAATCAGAAGCTAAACCCAGGCTGTCTGACTTCATAATCTAAGCTACTAACCTCTGCCCTTCTTGGTGGAATTTGAACCACAAAAAAATTTAATGAACACTAATCTAATGTATTTAGAATAAGATGATGAAGATTATCAGAAGTTGCTCTTTTCTAGTCTCTAGTCACACCACTGCCACCTAAAGTCAAAAAAGTGCTTTCAATGTTAATAGGTTTAGTTGTTTCCTACCACAAAAGTCACTCATAAAATTGTCAACAAAAGTAGCCCAATTTAAGACAATTAAAAGTAGTTATATTTTATCAAATCAACATTGTAAGGCTTGGGGGAACCTAGCTATGCTTCACAACCCATACAGATTATGAGTGAAATGGGCATTTTTTAAAAAGCTACCATGTTTGTGATAACTTATTACACAGCGATAGAAAACTAATACAGTACTGAAGGTGGCTTACATAACTGGAAAAAGAAAGACAATTATTAACCCTCAGGGTGGGAGAGGGAGACTTGGAGAGGGTGACTGCAGAAGAGTCCACGGTGCCTGCAGTCCTCCAGCACTACTGTCTTGGTGGCCATGTCCCCTCCACTTGCAGCAGGCCAACCTCAGGGCGACGCTTACAGGCTGAACGTGCAGAAGTGATTCTGAGCTAACTTCAACAGCTAGCCTGTTCCTTGGGACTCTCACTGTGGGTGCCATCTTACCAAAGGTCAGTATCAGTTTTCAGGCAAACCACAAGTTTTCCATTTTCTATCAACTATTTATATATTTTCCATGTATAACAGTTTCTTGTCAATATACTGCCCTTTAAGAAGAGCAGAATTTGTCCACTCCTAGATTCTCCAGCCACAATCCCATCACACTGTACCATTAACCTCTGACATGAACTAGCTAAAATAACAGCATCAGTAGCAGTCACTATAATCTACGAAGACAGGATATTTAAATATTTAAACATAAGAAGGATTGTCAATTGCCAGTTGAAAACATGTTGTTTGTTCCATTTTATACTCTGGAAAGTTCCACTAAATTTCAGTTGCTATAAAACGCTAAGTAATCTGCCTAACCTTTCAGTCTCTACAGTTCCAGTCCTACAAATTTCAGAAATAATATTTGGTTAAATAAAGAAACTTGTTGAAATATCTGAGACACAAACTCTTCCCAGGCTGCAGCGAACTTTGATCTTATTAATCAAAATCACAAATACTTAGGAAACAGGCACTATGAGTACTGAGTCCCCACCCTCGTGGAGGTTATAATAAAAATATGTACTTAATAGCATATGACAGAGTAGGGGCTGGAGAGATGGCTCAGTGGTTAAGAGCACTGACTGTTCTTACAGAGGACCCAGGTTTGATTCCCAGCACCCACATGGTGGCTATGGACCGTCCTTAACTCCAGTTCTAGGGGAATCCAATGCCTTCTTCTGACCTCCGTGGCATTGCAGGACACATACATGCAAGCAATGCACTCGTACACACAAAATAAAAATAATAAATAAAATATTGAAAAAATAGCATATGACACAGTAGGGCATATTTTGTGGAAAAGCTAGAACAGAACTGACAAAACACAGTGGAAGAGTGAAAAATAGCTCTACAAGTGATTTGTGTACTCTCTGTAAACCCAGGCTTTTCAGCTTCCTTTACCTGTCCACTCCAAGCCCCAGCCCTTATATTCACCTGAACTTAGTCCATCCCTCACATGGTAAATTTTAGTTCCCTTTTCAGATTAACTCCAGCTCTCTTGGGTGAAAATGCTTGTTCACGCCCCAGGAGAAGGCAAATGGCTAGTCCTGCTGGTAGGAGGACTGGAAGGTTCTTTCTACCCCAGCTTACCCGACCTTCACTTGAAGGGTTGGATAATAAGCATCATTTCAGCCTTGGAAGCCCTGTATTCAGTGGTTACTGGAGTCTGCTCAGGCATTATCACAGCTGTTTCTGCCTTCTTGGGTTTGATTCCCAAATACTGGGCATGTAGGGGAGGAAAAACTGAGCTACTATAGATGCCTCAAACATCCAGCATTGCCTTCATCGTTCCACCTCCAAAGCCCTGGAGACCCCACTCTGGGTCCATTCATTCGTTTGCTTTCTACCAACACAAAGAACATTCTATGAGCACAGATATCATGGACATTTATAAATCAAATCTTTAGTGGACACTTTACCTACTGAATAGCCTTCTTCAGGTCCTGATATTTGAATGCTGTGTTTCTACAGAAGCGATTCTCAACCTCCCTAAACTCACAACAATGCAGTCTTGTCTTCAGTTTCACTAAGAAAATGGATCTAGGTTTGCACCACTTCCTGCCCACACCTGCCTCCACCTTTCCACCTCCTGTTGCGGGCTAGCACCTTGCCCTGGTTCTTAAATCCTTCATCTTATTCAGCAACCTAGTTCAATCAACAGTGCCCTCCTCTCCTGGATCTTTTACTTTTGATTCTAACAGCTCTTTCTTTTCTTCACATTGACACACTGAAAACCCAATTTTAAAGCCAAGCGAAAACAAACAACAAAACCACAATTCTCTGTAGCCTAAACACTCTTCTACTGTATTTGCTCTCCTAACTGCCGAGCCTTCTGAAAAAGCCAGTTGTCTGTCTCACTCTGCATTAACAGCGCAGCCTAATGCCTGCACCCCTCCCTCGAAATCACTCACGTCCACGTGACCAAATGAGCTTCGAGTTCACAAATTCAGTAGTCACCTTCCAAGTCTTCCTGGACTTGCCCTCCCCACAGCGCCTGACATTTAGCAACTTCCATCTTATGACTTGCTGCCACTGGATTTTTATGACATCACTGCCTGGCGATTCTACTTCTTCACTTAAGAATACTCTCACTCAGTCTACGGGTCAAACCTTGCATTTTAACATTTTCCCAGGATTCTATTCTTGGCTTTCCCCTTCTCAAACTAAACTTTCCCTGGGGAGAGGGAGGGGCAGAGGACTGTTTACACTATGAATTATCCACATACCCATAAATCAATAAGGCTAAATCTGAATTCATTTGCTCCCTCTCCCCACCCATCGCCTTACCAGCGCTCACCTCTATCATGGTCTTCTCTGTCTGCCTATCTGGCTGTATCCTGTGCCTCGTAAGCTAGGGGACAGACACCAGGCACTAGTATCAGTAGTGGTGACTTCCCAAAGTGAGGACTGGGTAAGTAGCAAAAGCAACACATCACAGAGAAGCTAAGGAATGTGTCTCCACACAAAGAACCATATATGAGCCTCACAGAGCTTTCCTAGGAAAAGCTGGAGGGAAATAACATCGGCAAGCATAAATATGTGTTCACCTCTGAATTCCTCTGCTTAGCATAAATGCTTGTCATATAATGGAAGCCAATTTATATTTTGTAAATGAAAGAAGGAACAGAATGGGGAAAGTGGTAGGATTTCAACAGCCACAAGCGGGTAGGAATCCTTCAGGTCGGAGGGAACAGGAGAGCGGAGCGGCAGAGCAGCAGCGCTGGGCTGGTGGGGCGTGGAAAGAAACGACCAGCAACAGCAGAACGCTGAGGCGAGACGGTACATGATTTTATGATTGACTGGGAGACGCAATTTGCAGGAAATGGGGAACAAGCTAGTCCTTTTTAAACAATGCATCTTCTGATTAGAAAAGAAGAAACTGGAACAGAAGAGACCTTTTAAAAAACTCCCCAGCGAATTACCTAAGTAAGAAGAGATGAAAGCCTGAATTACAGCAACTGTCTGCAACAGCAACCCACATGAACGAAGGGGAGCGGAAAACACTATTTTTTAAATTATACATGAATAAAATGTTTTGAATATTCAAGAACAATATAATTAATTGAACAATTAATTTAAAGGAAGTAAAAGAAAGGCAGGCAGATCTCTGTGAGATGAGGCCAGCCTGGTCTATACAGTAAACTCCAGGCCAGCTGGGGTTACAGGGAAAGCTTGTCTCAAAAAAACAAAACAAAACCCATGAAAATTAAAAAGCCTGAAGAGGAAAAATAAATCCTTGAAAAAAAAATATATATGTCACATATATATTTTGAATATACATATTCAAAAATAGTTTTGAGAAATCACCTGAACTCAAGTTTACTGAGTCAATAACTGATCACACATTTGGTGTTAGAATGTAAAATGTATTTATCAGAATCTACCATGTCAGCAGAACTGGAGTCCACACGTGCTAAGGAAAAGCTACTCCCTTGGCCTTGCAGTGAAGAGTAAGAACAGAACCTACCGTGAAGCTGTTGTTGGCGTTTTTTGTGCTTGCTTCAGCGACACTGGCATCTGAAAGGTCAACTTCATCAAATATCAGGGACTGTTGATGGAAAAGAACACAAACACGTTATGTGAAAACTCAGTTCCAGGCTCTTCAATGTGTTTTCACTATCAGGTCATGACTATGAAAGTTATGTCTAGAACTGGAAATAATAAATGTGAAGAAAGTTAACTTAAAGACATTGCAAATTTGTCTTAGGAAGGATGAATGGAACTATTAAACATGACTATCCCCTAAATCCAAACAATGCAAATACCCTGTGTTTTCTGGAAACATAACCGCTACTGTTTATGGAGAGTAGACTGGGGATCACACATACACATACACACAATCTCTAAAGCTTGTAATAACTCTGCCAAGCAAGCAGAGACTGCATCACTGCCCACAAGGTTTATTGAGTAGAAACTGGTTCTGGCTCAGTTCATGATGAATTACTGAACACTCTGAACCTTATTATCCTCATCTACCATAATGTATCCAAATAATACAGTGACTATGCTCTGCAAATCAAAAACAGTGTTTTTCCATGTTCTTAGACATTATTTTAATCAAAAAGTGTCAGCAATGAAAGCGCCAGAAAAAAATGGAATTTTTTAAAATGAGTAAGTTAGCAATTATATTTTATGAGTAGGGCTGGAGAGCTGGCTCAGCAGTTAAGAGCACTGGCTACTCTTGCAGAGGACCAGGGTTTGGATCCCAGCATTCACATGGCAGCTAACAACGGTCCAACTCTAGTTCCAAAGGATCCATGTCCTCTTCTGACCTCCGTGGGCACTGTATACACATGCACACAGACAGGCAAAACACAAACATAAAAAAATTAATTTAAAAAATTTAGGGGCTAGAGAGATGGCTCAACAATTAAGAGCACTAGTTGCTCCTTCAGAAAACCTGGGTTCAGTTCCCAGTACCTACACGTAGGCTAACAACCGTCTGTAACTCCACTTCCAGGGGAATCTGATGCCCTCTTCTGTCCTCTGTGGGTTTGCACACACATGGTGTACTTGCATACATGAAGATTAAACACTCATACATATAAAATAAATTTAAATTTTTAAAATTTTAAAGAAAAAAGAAATCTGAGTAAATAAATGTATCCTTCCCATTTTTAATGAATTGGTCATTGGTCACACTCAATCCAGTGTTTTTCCAGCAAGGGTACATAACAGCAAACTTCTAGAGGCTCAGAAAAATACGTCTCCCTTTTCTGTTAATTTTCATTCCCCTTCTTACAGGTCTCTAATTCAAGACTTATTCCCAAACTGGAAGAAATTTGCAACTTGCGATGGACAAGATAGACAAAATTAATTGCACTGTAGAGCAGACATGGAGAAGAAGAGCTAGCAAGAAATACCAGGGACTGTAAACCAATGGTTTACTCAGCAGAAAATTATTACATTCCTCCTCTTGTGAATTGGACTATTTGAGAGGCATCTTAATGCGAACAAAGTCATGGATGGTCAAGAAGTCAATGCTTCTAAATACAAATGTGAAAAGACATGATGGAGCCAGACTAGGGACAACAGTGAACATTAGACTTCTAAAATAAGATTACCTTATTTTGTTATTACTTTAACATAAGTATTCAGTTATTAGTTCTTCTACAGCTCCATAAACTAAGAATTAGGTTCCTTAGTTGGCTGGTTTTTACCTCCCACAAATGACTCTACTTTATATCAGGAACGCATACTTTTTTAAATGGAAATAATTATTCCACTGGCTCAGTAGCAAGAAATCTTCAGGTTTACTCTTGAGGTAATACTAAAATATTGAATTTTAAAATAATTCAACTGTTACAATAAAATAATTTTAAGTCTCAGTTTTACTTCAATGTGATTTTTACTTTTTTTTTTTTTTTTTGAGACAGGTCTCCTATAGCCCCAGAAGGCCTGGAACTTACATGTAGACCAGGTTGGCCTCAATCTCACAGAGATTCATCTGCCTCCTGAATGCTAGGATTAAAGGCCTGTGCTACAATGCCCAGCTGTGATTATTCCTCTTAATTGCTACCATAATGGAGGGATTACCTGAGCCAGATCACAGGTAAGCATTAGGCTTTCATTATGGCCTTAAGCAGCCTCCCAGCAACACATACTAGACACAGACCACCATGGACTGTGCTGGGATTGGGATATGAACCTGTATCTGAATCCAGAATGTAAATTCTTAGTAACTATAGCAACTCTTGCTCTCTTACATACAGAAAAATACTTGAAGGTAAAAAGGGAAGAAACCCAAAATTCTGAATTTACTGTATCTAATAAGGTTATGAATGACTTAGTTTAATTAGAAAAAAGAAGAAAGGGGGCAGGAAATCAAACTATACTAGAGCTACCTATAGATTATTCTTCACAGCGTGTTATGGGACTAATTCCATAGATGCCAACACAAGCACACTGAATCCATTTAAGGACAGTTATGCTACGGTGAGGCTCCAAGACAAAGACAGCTCATGCAACCAGAGTTTTAGGTCCACCACAACATAGAGCACAGGAGACCAGTCTTCTGAATTACCTTTGAATCCTTTGCATAATAAAGAGTTCGGCCTCGGAGCTTGAAGTATCGTTTTTTCCACCTTTGGAAAGAGCTGGTTTGTTTCAGTAGTTGCCCCTCTTTAATACTGGTCTGAGGAAAAACAGAAGCAAAGTGGCACAATTAAAACCAAATTCAAAACCAAAGTCAATATAGAATCGATGACCCATGATCATTAAAATTCTGAGTATTAGTGCCTGTATCTTACAAATTAAGAGACAATATTTTGTTTGCACCACAGCTAAATCAAGGAAACCTACGCACAAAGTCCCAGAGACCAAAAGTGAATTTCACATGGCTCTCTGCCTTCAAAGAATTCAGATAATACTGCCTACTGATAGACTAGGAGATGGGGAGTCACTGCCTTCATTCCATAACCCTTAATGAATCTACCAGTCTAATGGATAGTTCCAAACCCATGGTCACACAGACTGCCCAGGTTAAACCCACTTGGTCACAAAACAGAACAAAAAGACATGAATGTGGGAAAGAGGCTTGTAGGGAGGGTTTGATAGGGGAGGGAGAGATATAAGAGAGAATGGGGATGAGAATAATTAAGATGCATTTTAAAGGAATATTGACAACTGATTACCACTAGATGAGGAAGAGCTGACCCTCCTAAAACAAAGAAAGACCTCTAGGTAGGCTGACTAGATTCACCAGAAGGGCAAGTAGTGGGGAATGACTGGGGGTACCGACAACACAGCAGACAGTAGCAGGGATATCAGAGTCAAAGGGCTCTAGTTGGGGGGGGAGGCTATGGGAGGGTGCCATCTGGGAAGTGGGTGTAAAAACAAATAAATAAATCAAAAATAATAATAATAATTCTTCAAAGCATAATAATTCTTCAAAGCATAAAAATTTGCTCCTTAATAATTACTAGATGTGAAAAACATTACCATTGTAATCTACCTGATGACTTTATATCCATGCTCAGATGCCGGGGA